CTCACTTATTTTTTGAAATTAAGCCTTTATTTTAAAAGGTATGGGCTTAAGTATTATAAAAAACTGGAGGATTTCTATGTGTGTGTGTGTGTGTACACATGTGCAGGGGTGCATGTTTGCGTGGGCACATTTGTGTGAGGATTCATATGCATATATGTATATGTGCATATGAAGACCCAGAGGACAATTGGGTGATATTTCTAAGGCACTGTCCACCTTTGGGATCCCAAGTGTGTACCACAAAGCCTAGCTTTTCTACATGGGTTGTGGGGATCAAACTCGAGCCCTCATGCTTTTTATATGACAAGCACTTTACTGGCTGAGCTATCTCCTCAGCTTAAGTTGGGGGATTTCTTTCTTTCTGCCTCTGTCTCAAGAGTGCTGGGATTAAAGGTGTATCCCACCACACCTGCCCTCATGGTGTAAGCTAAACTCTATCTTTATTCTGAGATTGTACAGAGTTAGACTCTTTCTTTCTTTCCTTTTTCTTGGGGGGAGGCAGTGGTCTTTTTGAGACAAGGTCTCCCTGGAGCTCCAGCTCGCCAGGAACTCACTATGTAGACCAGGTTGGTCTTGAACACACAGAGATCTTCCTGCCTCTGATTCCCAAGTGCTGGGACTAAAGGCGTGTGCCACCCACCATGCCTAGCAAGTTGGGGGATTTCTAAGGGCAGTGATTCTACTAGCTAACTTCACACACATACACACACACATACACACACACACACACACACACACAGATTATTGCTGCCCACTCATGAAAGTTCTTTCAGTATTCAAAGCCATATTCTAAAGTATAAACCAATTTACTTTTACATGTTTATGGATGCAATTTATGAGACTAGGTAATAGCATTTACTGAGTCTTGATTTGTTACAGTGTTATAAACAGGATAAAATAGGATTTCACATATTAGGAAGGCTACTGAAAAGAAAATGGCAAAGATGTGGGAAAATTAGAACACTTATATCTTGATGATAGGAATGCGGAAGATAATAGTTTCTAAAAATGTTAAATAGAATTACCATGTGGCTGAGCAGTACCCCCAAAAGAAAGGAAAACAAATACTCAAGTATTTGTATATAAACAGTCACAGCAGCAAAATGTGATATACTGATACAGTGAAATATTATTCATTCACAGGAAGGAATGCAGCACTGATAGATGAACCTTGAAAATATGCCAAGATAAATTAGAAACATAGGGCCGGAGAGATGGCTCTTCCAGAGAACCCATGTTTGAGTCCCAGCACCCAAACCGTCTGTAATTCCAGTTCCAGAATATCTAATGCCCTCTTCTGACCTCTACAGGCATTGCACAACACAGGTATACTTACACAGATGTATGCAATGCACTCATACACATAAAATGCTCAGCAGTTAAGGGCACTGACTGCTCTTACAGAGGACTTGGGTTTGATTCCTAGTACCCACATGGCAGCTATGAACTGTCCTCAACTCCAGCTCCAGGGGAATCTGAAGCCCTCTACTGACCTCTGCAGCACTGCATGATACAGGTGCACTCACATACATGCAGGCAATACATTCATACACATAAAATAAAAATAATAATTTTTTAAAAGGCTAAAATAGACAATGGGTCACATATTAAATGATACTGTTTATAGAAAATAATCCCAAATAGGAAAACCTACATACTTGGAAAGCAAACTGGCTGTTGCCAATGGCTAAGAAGAACTAATAGGGTGTTGTTGCTTAATAGGAACAAGGTTTTCCTTAGGAATAATGAAAATGTTTTGCAAGTTGATAAAGGTGACAGCTGCATAGCACTATGAATATACAAATGACACAGAATTGTTTACTTTTGAAAAAAGATGTAATCCATGGTGAATTTTATCTTTTTTTTTTAAAGCTTAGGAACTTATCAAACCAGTCATTTTAAAATTTTATTTTCTTTAGTAATAATGGAAAAGTCTAGTCAGTAAGTAAAGAATCAAATGTAATCACTTAACTTTGGATTCTGAAATCTTGTCAAATGAAATGCTCATGTGATATCTCACTTTCACATACATGCTGCACAAAGAAGTATATGTGCCAAGTATGTCTGGATATAAGGAGAATTATCTTCAAACTATCCACCATAAATATCATATACTACTTATAGGTATTTGTCACATACCTGACCAGAAATTTTCTTGATTTAGTTTATTCTGAATTGCAGAGTACTCTTTAGAAAAGACAGTGTGAAGAAAATCTTTATCAATGCTGGGTTGATGCAATGGTTTTTTTGAAAAAGAGGTAAGAGAGGCTATAGAGATGGCTTGGTGGTTGAGAGCACTGGCTGCTCTTGCAGAGAACCCAGATCCAATTCCCAGCACCCACATGGCAACTAACAGCTAGTCTTCACTACAATTCTAGGGTATCTGATGCCCTCTTCTGACCTACATGGGTATTGCATGACACGGGTGCACTTGTGTACATGCAGGCAATACACTTATACACATAAAATAAAAATAATAAAATATTTAAAGGAAAGAGGTAAGAAAACAACACTAACTTAGGAGAACTCCTAATACTAAGATTACACTGTTGCAACTGCTGGATACCACTTTATACAAGCCTTTTGGAGAACAATTTAAAAAAGCAACTTATGCAGATAATAAACATGCCTATAGCATAAAAGAAAATTAAAACTCAGAAATGGGTACTGTAGACTTTGCAATGTGTCATATAAAATTTTAAAGCTCTTCATACAAAAATTTAGGTGACACAGGGCTGAAGAGATGGTTCAGTGGTTAAGAGCACTGACTGCTCTTGCAGAGGACCCGGGTTTGGTTCCAAATATCCACATGGCAGCTAACAACTGTCAACTGACAGTTCCAGGGGATCTGACACCCTCTTCTGACCTTTGCCAGCACTGCATGACATGGGTGCATTTACATGCATGCAAACCATACACTCATGCACACAAAAAAAATTTTTTTAATTTTAATGTTTTATTCATTAGAAAACAGAAGTACATATATCAAAGTTAACAAAGGCATTAGAGATCTTAATGGGAGAGTATTTTATATTCAAGGATTATTAAAATGTGTCAAAGTTTTGAGAAAGGCTACATTGTAACATGCTGAAAAGGGATTATTTTGAAGGCAAGTGGTAATTGTTTAGGGTTTGTGAACTTAGTTTTCTCTACATTTCTTCTGTGTTTCCAACATTTTCCTCACTTTACATGCATTACTATTGACTGAGGTGAAAGCAGTAAGGATTAAAAATAAAATTTACTTTATCAAAAGGTCCAAAACTTCACTGGCACAGGGTTTTAAAAAAAGGTCAATAGTCTACTAGTTTAGCTTCCTATTAATCTTCGGAAACCCTAGCCAGGTTATCTGAAACCATCCAGCTGCCTTCTGAGTACTTCCAGGCTATTTGGAAAACAGTTTGCTGCTGTGTTAACTGAAATTTTCATAAATCATGCATGTGTGTAACTTTTATTTTTTGAGACAGGGTCTCCCTATAGCCTCAGGTAGCCTGGAAATCACAATGCAGACTGGCCTTGATCTCAAAAGATCCTCCTGCTTCTGACTTTAGTGCTAGGGCTAAAGAGGGATGCATGCCACCCCTCCCCCCACCAGTGATTTATTAATACTTTTATCCAGTCTGTACCAGAGATGTTGATCCTGATATTAAGTCTAAACATGTACAGTTTCTCTAGTTTTCTGGTACTATTTTCAATTCTGCAATCTTGAGAAAGAACATATGCTTATCCTTTTCCTTGTGAGACTATCTTTGAGGTATTTTCAGACAGCTATCAAAAGTACTTTAAATTCCCTCCTGTAGAGGCTATATTCAGCTGTTTGACTACTCTACACTCAAACCAATTATTACTATGCTTAAAATAGGGTAATTAGGACCACAAACAACATTCCAAAGTCAGAGTTAACAGTCTAAGGATATCTGGAACATTCTTTAATGTAGTTTAACATTCCAGCAGCATCACTAGTAGCTTATCATCAACTATACCATATGCATCCATATTACCATTATCTCAAGTCCATATCTACTGCTTATGCCATGCATCTTTTCATGTTCAATATTACAGAAGTCTAAATATAGAAGAATGTTCATCTTTGAATAAAGGAAATGTCTCTCTTGGATAGGAAAGACTCTCCATCTCTCTTGTATGTTTTCTAGTCTGACTAAGTCTTACTTCTCAGTCAATCAATATATTCAGTACTTATTTCTTGGTTTATTGGTAAGGAATTATAAGCTTATGTTTACCTTTAGAAAAAAATCAGAAAAAGTGTGAGTAAATCAAAGAATTGCTTGAGAGTCTAAATCAGGAAGAAAAGAAAAAAAAAACCCACAAAAATAGTGGGGATATGATGACCACCTTTCGATTTTTTAGAAGCTACCAGCTCATGAAGAAGCTCAGTTTTCCTTTCAATGTTTTCTCAATAGCAGCAGTGGGCCCAGTCCCAGAAAGGGTTGGAATTTCTCTATTTTCTTACATAGGTTCTTAGAAAGAGTTTCTAGGGCTTTTGTTTGTTTTCATAAGATAGATGAATTTATACAAATATAGCAATAATTAATTTATAGATTTTTAAAGCCTGCTGTAAGGAGCAAACAATACTAGTAGTATATGTTTCAGATTCAAACTAAGTGTTACATTTTTCCTTAGTAATATTTCACTCATTGAGATCTCTATAAATTTCTCATGTGTCAAAATTTACTATAATCTGGTAAAAATTGGAGAAATTATGCCTGTTTAAAAACTTTTTATCTGAAGCTGGGCATGGTGGCACACACCTTTAGTTCCAGTACTTGGGAGACAAAGGCAGGCTGATTGAGGCCAGCCTGGTCTACACAGTGAGTTCCAGGCCAGCTGTGGCTTCAGGGAAACCCTGTCTCTAAAGACCAACAAAACAAAAGAAAACCTTTTTAGGGTGTTCTTTACTTTCCCAAGTAATATATTCACTGCTGTCATCTAGAGTCATTTCACATCCATTTGCTTAGAAATAGATAAAAATTGTTTAGAATTACCTTGAGTGGTAAAGTTGAAGAGTGCAGGTGTATCTCGCCCATTTGGTAGTTTGACATTTGGGTCCCGTAATTCATCAAAAAATGAATGCGCACAAGCTTCCAGCGGTGTTAACCGGGCAGTTGGTGTATACTCCAGTAGACGGCTACATAATGCAATTGCCTCGGGTGGAGTTCGGGGTCGGAAGACCTGCAAGAACAGAAAAGTAACAATGCATGTTGTATTGCCAGAACTGAACCAACAACACTTTGAGTACTGTATTAACTCCCACCATATAAACAGTTACATGTTCTAAAATGAAAGTTAACTGCATATGACTTACCACAATGGAGTGAGCTGCTAAGCAGAGACTATGTGAGAAAACCCAGAGAAAAATCTACATATGTTCATCGTAAAGCAGTATAATCAAGCATGCATATAAACTATGACAGACACAGAAAGGCTGAATTTTAGAGTTAAGCACAACTGAAGAATATAAAAAAAATTAAAGTTTTTTACTGCTGTGGCAGTAAATAAAAGATTGTTTCTATAGTATTTTTAGCAGAACAACTGTTAATAATGGATGGCAGTCTTCAAATCTGCCAATTAGCTTTTTTAAAAAGAGAGAAAAACCATTATCCTAGTTGTAAAAATGCTAATGATTTGGTATTATCTCTTATTATTGGAAGAAATTCTTATGTAGACTGTTGAAATATCTGGCATTACTATCTTAAGTAGATGGCCAGTTCATTCTTATGTGAATGCATTTCAATGCATATTTTAGAGTTTTTAAATGGGGAGAGAATAATAATTTTGGGGGGTATTTTTGAGATAGGGTCTCCCTTTAGTCCCAGCTGGCCTGGAACTCTCTGTAGACCAGGCTAGCCTTGAACTGACAGAGATCCACCTGCCTCTGCCTCCCGAGTGCTGGGATTAAAGGCATGTGCCACCATGCCAGGCAAGAATATATTTTTGGCAAGAATATATTTTTTCATTAAGAGTCATCAATTCACAGGTCAACTGAAGGCTATACCCAAGCAATATATAATTAAACTAATTTGCTTTAAGGAACAGGTATGCTTATCTGTGTTTTCAAATGAATCAGTACATATAACTATGAAAATATACTTTATTCTAAATTATAGCCAGTCAGGGGTTAAAAACAGAAAGGAAGAAAACAAATTTTGAAATGAAAGAAAAAACATATTTCATGATGTTAAAAACATACAATCCAAAGAAAAAAAGGTAAAAGGTATGAAGATGGACAGAAAGAGCATGCAAACAGCAATTGGGCAGGAAAGACTCTGGGAGGTTAAGGATTCCAAATGAGAATGGTTCTTATCACTTAGATTGAAGACAGGAGACATTACCACTATAGAGTTCATTAGCTATTCAGTGGACTTATTATGAGCACTTTCCTAAAAATACTGGAAATTGAGAGTGCTTTACTCACTTTTAAAAATAGTTTATTATTGAAAAAGATTATTTTTCCTGAGAAATTGGTTTGAATAGAATCTTAGGAATTTATTTCAAGTCTCGGTCAATACATTGGCTATTTTAGAAAGCCCTTTGCAAGGTCAAAACTGACTTGTCTTTATACTTTTGAGTACTATGATTTGCCTTAGCAAGGAAATCTTAGAGTTGCTATATTATTTTAAAATGTTTAAATTCTCCACCAGTTTCGGTTATCACTCTCTTCCTTATTCCCAAATTCCACAATCAAATCCAGGATGCAGAAAGAAAATAGAAATTTCACCATAAAAATATGAAACATTACTGGCATAGTTTGTACCTGCTTGACAATATATGGATTTATTTGCTAGCTAACCCCAAAAGACTTTGTATAGATAATTGTGTCAGGTAAGTAGAATTAAAAATAGCACTTAAAGTAAAAATAACTCAAATACAAAATTCAAATACAGGGGACATAGCAAGTTATTTTAAAATTTAAAATTTGTATTATATTAATGAAGATTGTGTGTTAATAGTCTTAATAAACTAGAGTTGTTGGATTGTATTTTAAAAATTCATCCCTTGAATCTCTTTTTATTTTGCTGGCTAAAGGCAATCAGGCATATATATTAGCTTATTTCATGAAGAAATTCTAACTCATGGAACCAGAGAGTTAAAAATTCATCTCCAAAGCCTTCATTAAAATAAAGATTTAACCTGCCTCTAAAAATAGTAGCCACTGTTACTTTAAACTTTTTTTCAACTTTAAAAAAAAATTATTTATTATTTTTATTTTATGTGTATGTGTGTATTGCCTGCATGTAAGTAAGTGCACCTGTGTTGTTGCTGTCAGATCCCCTGGGACTGGAGTTACAGACAGTAGTTAGCTGCCATGTGGGTGCTGGGATTTGAATCCAGGTCTTCTGCAAGAACAACCAGTATTCTTAACTGCCGAGTCATCTCTCCAGCCCCAAGTTTAAACTCTTTTGAGAAATTCTTGATGAGAAAAGCCTCTATGGATAAAGGTTAAGTATAAAACTATGTAGGGTCAAAAACCAGTATCTTCCAGAGTTCAGATTTCTGAAAATATGGAGTGTGGTAGCAGCAATTTACAAAATGTAGAGTCCAAACTAGGAACTACCTCTTCTAAAGAAAAGGAAATCAACAGCTACTGAAATGTGGCTTCTAGTGCAACAGCTTCTGCTTCCACATCTTTCCTTACAAACCGAAATAACATTCACAACTTTTGGCTTCATGGATCCTGACCTATACTTGTTCTTTTAAGTATAATTTGAAAACCCTCAAGTCCTAAACTTCAATCTAGATGTCAATGGGTTACCTAGAATAGTAAATATACCATAAGAAAACCTATACCATATAATGAATGAAAACAGAAATCAACTTCCTATACTGTTTTATTAGCACATACGAAGAATGAACAACTACTTAGCCTTTCCAATAAAAATTTTCCCAAGTGTTATATAGAACTGACCTGAAATTTAAAAAAAAAAAAATTTTTTTAAGTACATACCCGAACTCCTGGGGTGAAATGTCCTGTTCCTGACGAATCCTAAAGGTGATAATGCAGTGAAATAATCCAAACAGGGGAAGTCAATGCAAAAGAGAATAGTCCAGCAAGGAAAAATATATCCAATGTTATAAGAAATCCATGGTGTAGGGGGACATAGAAAATGTTTATACAGTTATAAACTTTAAACATCAGTTTCCACAGTAGCAAGTCCAAATTTTTAAAAATTATTTTACCACAAGTGTTATGCCAAAAAAAATTTTTTTTGATTTGTGCAATGGTGAGGCACAGTAAAGAAACATTTCAGTTTTATTAGGTTCCAATGCCAGTGTGTTTATTAAAAAAATACAAAACCAAAAAAAGTTAAAATCAAAATGAAATCTAGAAGTAAAGTTCCCAAAGTAAAGTGGTCTTCTATGACCTGGGTTTATTGTCCACAGACATGGATGGAGGGGCATATTGGCCTGCTTTGATACATGTAAATTCCCAATATGCTAAATTTCACAATCTGTCCCAGTTACACAGTATAAACATTTTGGGGGGCTAAATTACTGGTGATGACAGGAAAGTATTGAGTATATTTAATTTATATTACTATAAATTTCAAGCCAGATATTTTAATTTGTGTGAGCTAAGGGAGGGTCAGGCCACCGCGGATTATTCTCCTTTTCTGGATTGACTTCCCTGCTAAAAGATATTTATTTACTGACATTCTCATTAACTTAGGACTCTCAGGAAATTGACATATCACCTCAGGAGTGCGGGTATAAACTTACTTTTTTCTATTGTGGGCTTTACCTCCTTATACCCTTGCACCCATGACTTAGGAAAAATAAATATAGAGCATTCTTTCCTCTATGAAAAAACTCACTGGAAAAAAAAAATCCTTTATCTTTGAGCACTACAAATTCAACACAGTTACATCTGCAAATATGCCCAATTCACCCACCAAAAGCTAAACAAAAATTTATACAATAAACAAAACAACTAAGGGACAGTCACAGTCATAGGTGACATGCAGAGTTATGTATACCAACACCTAGGCACAACGGAGCCAGATATGCAAGGGAGGAGCAGGATCTATTATGTCTAGGCATTGAGAACACAAAAAAGGCAGAACTCACCAGTAGCTGAGAACTCCCTTGGCTAAGCTGAGAGAATGTAATATTCTTTTAGGATAGTTTCCAGTGGGGGAATTAAATATTTTGCAAAAATAAATAATCCGCGGATTACTTTTAGTCTGCAGACTAAAATTTAGTACATGGATTAAAATCCGGCCCATCAGAATGAAAAACTCTGAAAACACAACCAGGTGGACAAAAAAATAGAAAACCATACTAAAAGAACTGACAGAACAAAGTAAGATTCAACTGGGCCAACTAATAATTAGTGAGCAGACTAAATATGGCCAGCCAAGTATGTAGCAAGGCCACAGACACCCCTTTAAAAGCTAAAAAGAAAATTAATAAAAAAAATAAATAAAATGAAAACAAAGCAAAAAAGAAAAAAAAGCAAGAGAAAAGGAAACAAAAAAGAAAAGAAAGAAAGCAAAAACAAAAACCGAAAGAACCAAAACACTGACATGAACTTTTAAGTGAGTCAAATACTACCTCACCTATGCAGCAACAAATTTTCTTATATTCAAACACACACTCATCACAAACACTAGTCCATAGGGGGGGAAAAAAAGCTAACATAAAAATTCATCTCCCCACCCCAAAAGTCTCTGTGGTACTGAACAAATGAAGAACTACATAGCATAAATTTGCATTTGGATAATTCTGAAAAAGAGAGAGACCATTTTCCCCTTGTATATAGCCTGAGAACAGATACTGGCTGTCAGAATAAAACCTGGGCTAAGTGCTATAACTGAATCACAAGCCCTTCAAAAGGCTATTTATGAACAATTACACAGACCATATCAAGGCCTGTGGTTAAGCCATTTCTCACTGTGTCAGTTCTCACCAACTCTACTGTATTATGCAGCCATCCAAAGGTGTAAAAATGCCAACCTTTTATGATTACGGACAGTAGTAATTAAATAGAACAAAGTACAAGTGCTGTGGTTGCTCTAGATAGCCACTCCCCACTAGTTTTTAGCCTAAGAAACACAATTTTCTGTTCAAATACAAAATATAATCTCCAAGTTTTAAAAACTGATAAAGCATGAGTACTAAAAATAATACTGGCTCTCAAGTCATCTAAATACAGGTAACAGTGAGACACTATC